GCTTCCCAGCCTTGCAGGTACATATTTATGCCTGTAAGAGAGAGATACGACAGGCTGGTCTGAGGTCAGTAAACAGCACTTCAAAGGGTCATGTGTTTTACTGCGGAGGGCTAAAGGTCCAAACATTCATCCCACTGTAATTGAATTGGCCTGATGTATGAAGCAGCTCCAGTTCAGCTGCACGCACCAACACACACGAATGTAAACTGAGAACACACATGTATACACAAACTCATATGTATAAGCGCACAATCATGCCTAAACACACATTCAGAGGAACATATTGGTCCTCATCTGTGCCAGCGCTCCATTGACCCATATTGCACTTTTTGCCCAGCAGTCAAACGCCTCTGGTCTGACTGACTCTCAGGAGGTTCATCACTGCTACTATCTGCTGACTGAGGCCCAAAATCTGCCCTAAATATCTGGATCATGTTGTCCGCTTAGCAAGAGTTTTTTGTCAACAGGGCTGCTGTGTGAGCATTGCTCCACTTCGCTCTCAGTCAATAACACTTGTAATCTGTTGATTTGATACAGAACTGTAAGTTTTTTTTTATCAGTCACTGTTCAGTCACTGGTAACTGTAATTCTAAAATATTAATGACAATTGACAATGACTATTTTTTAAATTACTCTTTGTTCTCTAATGTTGTTAAATCTTTCTGTTTATAAAAATAGTTAAAAACTGAACTGGTGTTTGTTATTGATGAGGATGTACACACAAATAGTCAATATGGATAAAAATTAGGGATGTGATGTGACGTTTTTAAGGTGGTACAGAAAAGACGAAAGTAAGTAAAATAACTAACCAGGCATTTAAATGTTTAATTCAGCTTTTTTATCATCCACCACCCTTTCGGTAGATTGGCCTGCTTAAATTAAAACAAAAATATAATTTTTTATCTTGTAGAATTTATTAAGTTTTAGTATTAAGTATTACGTTTCAGATTGCAGCTAACTTAAAACAGCTCGCGTCAATATTTGTGAAATGTGTGGGAGAAACTACAGTGGCTGCTCTATCGACAGCCTGTGCTTGGTTTGTCCATTGTGGGTTACTGTAGAAACATGGCGGTTCAAAATGGAGGACTCCAAGGAAGGCGACCCGTGGCATCTGTAGACTAAAAACATCAAACCCAAAGGTTCCTATGTTCAGGTTATTACACACTAATGAACACATACCTAAATATTATATTCCATTGATGTCAATAGATTCTTCTGAATGTTAAACACTGGACCTTTAAAGTTGGTAAAAGAACAGCTTCTTCCAGTTTTTGTGCTCTAAAGTAATTAAAACTTCACAAAACGACAAATCATCAGCCCTTTCTACAATTACCTTCTTCGTTTATGCTTCTTATACTTAAGTCTCATAGTTAAATTGTGGCCAATGATCTGTTGACACATGCAGCACCTCAAATATAAACTATTTTAATGTTGTTCCAGTATATGTTTCTTGTTTCAAATGGTGGATCTCATGTAAGAAATACCAACTTTTGACATGGAGGGAGAGGAAGGTTTGCTAGAGTCGTGAGTCGTGGTCTGCTCCATACAACTTTCCGATGGGGGATGTCAGAGGATATTAAGGATGAGGAGGTTGTGTTTCCAGATATAAATCTGAGCTGTCTAGATGTTTTCTGAGACATTCAACATCTCTTTGTTTTAGTTTAGGCTGAGATGTGTCTGGTGTTTATGTGTGTAGCTGTTGGCAGGGTCAACTCCAGTCAGGAGACTGATCGCCACTGTGCATAAATTTGCATGTTAATCTGTGCAGCTGTTCACTAATTGGAAGTAATCTCCTCACTGATTGGTTGGTTCACTCAGTTCATGATTATGGGGGAATGTATGTAAAATCTCTTCCATTCTGAATTGTGAAGCCTATGTTTGTGTGATTGAGAGCACAAACACGGACTGACATTGTTAGATCTCGTCAGTCAGTGTTTGTTGTTGCCTAATTGCTTTTAAAGCCTGTTCTTTGTGCAGCCATTTTCAACCAAGGCTACAGTGGCGTTGTAAATTGATCTTTATGCCTCTTGTATGATGGATTTCTTCCTGTATGGGTGTTGACCGTCAGTACAAAATGGCGGCTGTGGAAAGAAGTCTTTTCTGGGAGTTTTTTTGTTCTCAGGGACTGTGACCTAAACCTGATGTTTAGAGTTGATGTTTTAGGCATTTACTACCATGACCACCTCATTGTAATGCTAATAAAAGCATCTATAAGTGATGTCACGTCATCTACATTTAGCCAGTTATAAACATGAGTGGGAAACAGTATTATGGATCTATCACCTATAGCAGTTTGTAAAGACCTTACCCGGTATTTAAAACCATTTAATCAGTGGAATTACCAATGGATTCCTATGGATTATCTATGGATTCGCTCTAACTCACTAGATGGGAATCATTGTTGGAAACTCTTCAGAAAAGGAAGGCACTTTCAAAAAATACTTGATGAACCATCTGTCTATTACCGTCTATCATGGGTGAACTTCAACCAATCAGATCAACAAACCACTTAACGTAGTCAAACTCTTACTGAACTGAGAACATAAGAAAAGTCTTCAGTGCTCTTCTTTCAATGACGAAATACTCTCCTGTTCTGATGTAACAGATGCATCTGAGGGAACAAAGAGCTGAAGAGTACAAAACTGAAGAAGCTATCGTAACTTAATAGCTGCGTTGCATCATTCAATCTGTCCAAATATAAACTGCTGCACAGAAGAGGAATGGGTTGCAGACAGTTATGAGACAGGAGACAAATATGTCTAAAGTGTGTAAACTTACTTTCCTGTTAGCGATTGCGCTAACAAGCTTGCGATCTGACAGCTTGCTAGCTTTCCAGGAGGAAGTAAACAGCTCAGTACAGAGATTGACTGCCGTTGGTATGTTCCCAGCTTGCAGCTTCTAGCAGCTACAGTAGTTCACCAACTAGCCCTGCAAATAGTCTGTGTGTCACCAAGCACCGCCTATTGTTTGAGGAAGCGTGGATGAATTTCACTGTCCAGTATATGAGCAGTTTTGACTATTTTAAAAGCACATCAGAGGGAACAGAAATGGAGAATCGGGAAGAGGAAAGAGGAGAAAGAACGGTAAATATATACATTTTTATCTAAAGGAGGCCCGGGAGTGATTTTTACTGCAGATTGCAAACACAGATTTAGTATTGATCCATTGAATATGTATTATGAACATCAGTTCCACAATAGTACAGTAATAGAAAAGCTACTGGACAAAGCACATGTCACCCTTCCCCCATCTGCTCTAATCCTGAACCCAGCGGGATGATGTGATGGTTTTTTTTTTTTTTAAACTCAAGTGTAGCTGTTCTCATCACAGATCGGGACGTTTTGATCCACAGATGCACTGTTGACTTTCAGATGCATTCGCAGAGGACTCATATTGAGCTGGAACTACTCTGTGGCTTACACCATATTTTCATAAATGATTCTCTTAATCCGTTTGACTTTTAACCTCCACCTAGATTCAGCAACCCTATTGGAGTATTGAGGAGAGTCATTACGGCAGTTTGAGGCTAATGCCTGGAAAGCGGGTCATATAGTAATGAAAGCGTTCATCAATATGCAGACGGGGCAACAGAGGGGGCAAAATATGAAAATAATATCCATATATGTTTGTATATGAGTGAGCGTTTGAGTTGTTTTTACAAAACCTTGCATTTCAGTTTCTGTGTATGTGTTTGTGTATTTGCTCGTACTGTAATGTATTGTATAATCTATAATGCGTGTGTCTGTGTACCATTTGCATGACAAAGGAGAGTCGAATAGCACAAAGCAAAACGAATTTCAGCGTACAGCCTGGCAGAAGAAGGGACATTTCCTCATGAGAGTCTCTTGTTAAAAATAACAATAATACACTGGTTTATATTCTGCACTGAGCTTTTCCACATGTTCCTGACCAGCAGAGCAGAACAATAAATCTAGAGTTTCGTGGAGCCTCACACAGCAGGTGACAAAGCATTTTATATTATATACTAGTGTCTGATTGTTCTGTGGAACCCATTGTGCATGCTGCAGAATATATTTATTATTGATTATATATGCAAATGAATGATCCCGATGAAGCCTAACGCAGCTGCAACGCATTGTTTATTGAATGCTTTGTGAAATGTACATTTTTCAACAAGAATGGCAAATGTATTCCTTTTTCTTGATTAACTTTGAATCCTTTGCTGGGTTTTTACTCCTTTCATTTACAGTCATAAAGGTCCAGTGTGTAACATTTAGAAGGCTCTATTGGAAGTAATGTAATATAATATTTATACGTACAGTATGTTTTCATTGGTGTATAATCAACTGAAAACAAGAATTGTTGAGAAAAGAATAGAATGAGATGGTTTTATCTACCAACCGCCATGTTTGCACAGTAGCCCAGGATGGACAAACTGGCTCTAGGTATTTGCATGCTTTGTGGCTATTGTAGTTTCTCTTTAATGCTTGGAAGGGGAGCGTGAGGCGAGATGTAATCTGCTACTTCACTGCTAGATGCCACAAGATCCCACACACTGGTCGTTTGAGGCAAAGTCAGTGCGTGTCTTAGCTATACGGTTGCTGGGTTACTTATAATTTGGTACATAAGTGATACTATACTTTTACTAGGACACTTTTTTTTTATAAAAAATTGTACATTTTTAAAACATTTTATGTAATATGAAATCTTGGCAGGGTTTTGTAAGTATATCCACAGATTTTGAACACACCACACACACACACATATATATATATAAACAGCTAAATATTATATTGTATTACAAATGAATATGTCCTGAATTTGGCCATTACTTTTGGAAATTGACGATGCTGTATGCTATTGCGATTAAAGTATATATGATTTGTCTATATCCAGTCCTGCTATCACTGGAAAAAGTAAGATGCACTGATTGCAGCAGCATGTGAATGGGTGCAGTTTTTGATGCAAATGTGTGCGTATGCAGTGAGTACATGATTTTTCCACTGGATGAATGTGTTTGAGTTTATGCCACATCATACCTGCAGAAGACTCCCATGCCCTCCAGCAGGTAACACTGTCCCCCGTTGAAGCAGTAGTTGGGCAGCATGTCGCAGGGCGAGCGGCAACTTCCGTTCACCATCTGGTAGCCCACGCGGCATCCCCCCATCCCGTCTGACCCGTCCACTGGCAAGGCCGCTGGAGGAGCCGCCACAGGGACATTTGGAGCTCCTGCGCCAGGAAGTGCTGCCCCGGGGATGAAGGAGCCAGACCCTGGGACACGGGGCTTGGAGCGAGCCGGAGACCCAGCGGAGAGCCGGAGGTCTTCGTCACTCTCGTAGGCGTCAGTCGTGGTGCTGTAGGTGTACTCATCAGCAGTGGGGGACACGCCATCCTCGTAGGGTGTGAGGTAGTCGTAGTTGTCCGGCATTGCCCAGGAGGTCGGGTCACCACCCTGCAGCTCATGGGCCAGTGATGAAGGAGAGGGTGGGGCCAGGTCGAGGTTGCGCCCACGAGAGGAAGGGTCGAAGAAGTCCACATGGAGGACGTCGGGGTTAGAGGGGTTGGTGGCGACTGAGGGCGGGGCGGTGGTGGTGAAAAGGTGATCAAGGTCAAACACGGCTGTGTCTTTGGAGTGGATCCAAGGTGGGTCGGTGTGTGGCAGGCGCTCCTCCTCTTCCTCCTCCTCCTCTTCGCCCTCCATCACTTCCGGTCCACGTGGGTTGCTAGGCAGCAGGTGCTCTGTCTCGGCCGAATCAGGACTGAGCTGGGGCGGGGCTGCCACGCCTACCTCCTCCACAGCGGGAACCACCGTTTCACCGAACATGCCGCTGCTCTGATCCTCCTCCTCGCCGGCACGGGGGATCCGACCCGCCCTTGGGCTCACAGTGGTGATCGCATTGGGGCTGGCTGAGATCTCGTTGACCTTGACAGGCCCCTCCTCCTCGTTAAGCAGGGAGGTAAGATTGGCCGCGCTGTCTGGCTCAGTGGCATTGGTCCCGACTAAGTTTCCTACAAACACACAGAAGAAAATGTTCCTTAGTACAAATATAACAACTGAAAAAGTGCTCTGAGTTTGATTTAAGGCTTTGAAAGGAAAACGAAGGTTTTGTAATCTCACAGGCCGATTGAGAGACCCTGAACACAGATGAGTGAACCTCAGTCTCTATGACCTGAATGAAGGCAAATAAAATACTTTCCCCCTCAGACTGAGAGAGAAGTAGAGAAACAAAGTGACAAGGGAACTTCAGCAAATTTAATGATGTGAAAATGTTTTCACTCGAAAGAGAGACTGCAGTTTGTATCGACCAGCTCAGAAAAAAACTTCTGGCTCTTAAATGGGCCAGTTACTGGAGTGCAGGGCTCATTAGAGAGACGTCTACAGTTGAAGAGCAGAAATACCCTTGAAAATGTATAAAATATCTATGATAATAAAAGAAGAGTTTTGTGCATTTTACTGTGTTCACATTGTATGAATGTAGTTACTGTCCTCAATGGGACAACATACTATATGATTAATATAAATCTGAAAATGCAGTTACTTTCAGAGTGTCCTCAGTCTGCTACATCAGGAAAGTCTTTCTTCTATAATTTCTACGCAGATTTATGGGTGGGGTCTTTACGATTGCACTGAATCTAAAAATATTTGTATGATGAATAAAACTGCTCAGAGAACATGTATAGAGCTTAAAAGGGAGAAAAAATTACCTCTGTGCAGCCAGCAGTAGAAAAGAAATGCTGATGCCACACAAACCATGACATAAGGAGATGTAGAAACCATTACTATGAAAAATTCAACAACCAAGGGGATGAAAATAAACTGGTTTGGGACAGAAAACATCACCATCCTCTTCTACAAAGCTCACTGTTAGTTTCAGAAGTACACACACATTTAAATTAATCTCAGTGGTACAATTTTTATATACAAATTTATCCCAAAAAAACTGGGCCTAAAATCAGATCACAGGAGCTAGGAGTCATTTTAGGAATATTAGCAAATATTAGCAAAGAATAACTGCAGTTGGGCTGTCGGTTGTAACATCTGCTGTTATTTGTATCTGAATTATAAACACAAACATACACATACAATCACCAACTGGTGCACTTCACTCTTTCCAAAGACATTTTCCAGCCTCATACACCAGTGGTCTACTGCCACACAATGACATCACAAGCTGGGAGTCTTGCATTATGCGACGGACAAAGTGGGCTCAAGGAGTCTGGCAGTGAACCCGACGGGTGAAACAAATTAAAACAAGACGTGATTGGCTGTATACTTATCCTCTGGTCGATTACTTCATCCGAGGGCGGCTCGTTGAGTAATGCAGAAAGCTGCTTTACGGCCGCTCCCCCTTTGGATTAAAGGAATAATTCACTAATGTACTTGAACGACGAGGAGCTCGGATTACGGATTATGGGGTCGGGGGGTGGGGGGGTATTTGGGAGACTTTGGGGGTGCCCCGCAGGGGGGTCGGTGATGATCTTGAGGAGACCCAGACAAGACAGCGTCTCGACAAGTAAAAGAAAGCTGATAATATGTGCAGATGACCCAAAAGAGACTGTTTGTCATGAATGAAGAGGAAACTTCAACAGTTTCTCTGATGGAGAACTGACCTGCAACAAACCTTACAATAACACTACAACTGTTTTTATCCACTGCAAGCAAATGAAACCAACGTGATTTGTAGAGATTTATCTTTTTATCATCATCAACAGTTTCCCTAAACAGTCTCAACAGTCTATCCCGCTAACAAGATACATGAAGGTAACTTTATGCCTTCATGCAAAAGAAATCTAGCCTCCCTACAGACTTCTGAATTGCTGAATCCAATACCTTTTCAGCAATAAAAAAGGTCTGGTGTTGTGTTCAATAGCTGCACCCCAGCTGGCCATGCCGGTATGCCACTTGTTACACAGCTGCAAGGGCTCATAGTCAAGCAGCAGGTAGTGGTGGTGCTGTTGTAAACTCTAATTTCATCTTTTCACAGCTTCAGTTGCCATAAACACCACGGTACCCTTTCCGTTCGGATTCAGCCACTACAAATATGTGTTTATTAAAAGTCTGTGTTGTCTATAATACAGCAGGTACATATGGTATTTAGCTTGACGTGAAGTTTTGTGTGACAACTACAAATAGAGTGGAAACCCTGCTCATTCAGCTCAAGCTGTCGCTATGGGTTTTGAGTTTTGGAGTGCACCTATGGACAGCTGTTCCTCCTGGTTGGAAAACAACCGATCCAATTAGAGCTTTAGAGGTGTGATTCAAGAAGGGGACGTCATCTTCCTCTGTCAGAAAAATGAACACAAGCTTGGACGGCTTCAAGAAAGCTGTGGAGGTCGTTATGTGTTAACTTACAGAAATAGCTTGTCTAGTTAACGTCAGTCACTGCTGATTGGTTTGGGCAAAATAAATGCTCCTTCCAAACAGAACATGAGGTGGAGACTAATTATCATGCATAAAAGAAATCCACATAATAACCACACTGAAGAGCTCTACTGTTGCACTGGGTGACACGTTGTTTAACTGTGATCGACACAGCCAGTGTATTTTTGCATTGTCAACCTAAAAGTAGGGGGTCAAAGTAGGGCTGTAATTGGGCCGCCTCCCTTTAATCAAATACTTAAAGACTAATTGTGAAGCCAGACATTTTTCCACAGTTGACAAATTCCTAATTAGCTAACATTGAAACATCAACATTTGTATTCATTTTTAACAAATCCCCTATTATGGTCTTTTTTATGGCCACTGAGATCATTCATTCCTGTAAAATGACAATTATATCTCTGACATCACAATATAAATTGGTGTTTAATAAGCACCAGACTTAACGGTCCTTCTTCATGTCTGCATTAATCTGTGGAGAAATCCTATCAACTCAATATAAGAATGATAAAAATAACACCAGCGTTATCCTTTAATATTCAGTCAGTGGCCTCATCTATGTCATCTGTGCTCTTGAAAACCACATTTATACGTCTTGTTTAGACAGTCTGTGGTTCAACTCCCATTCTGATCACTCACAGTGAATAAGTGCATGTACTTGTGGTCATATAAGGAGATTTGGTAAACAGCCTTCAGCAAACGGCATATGCGAGGTTATCTGTGAGGATCTTTTCTGACTGAAGATAAGCTCCGACCGCGACCCTCTGGGAGTTTAATCTGTCCATCTCTAAAATGTCTCCTCAACACTCAGAGAGGCTCCATTTACACAGCCAGTGGTTTATTATTTATCATGACCTCCACCAAAAGTTTTATGACTTAAGCTGCGTGACGTGATGTCTGATTTGGGAACAAACAGACATAAATGGAACACGCCCTCAGATAGTAACACAATCTAATAACTTAAAAAGTTATAAAAACTGAACCACCAGAAGCAACTTTTTATACAACCTCATTTCCTGAAATGTTTTAAGATGGTCCACAGATCACATATCTAAACTTTAATAGTTCAAGACAAATCAAATCAACTTTATTTGTATAGCCCGATACATATATATATATATATATATATATATATATATATATATATATATATATAACACGGATCATCATTATATTGATGATTTTGAGAAATCCTTCTGCATGATTAGATACATCTGCCCGGATAATAAAACTAGAGAAACTATTTCACACATGTTGAGAATTGAGAAATTAATTCACTAAAGACAATCAGGAGTCAATTAATCCACTAGGAATTTCTTGAGTTGTACAATAACTATGAGTTCAGAGCAACAGCGTTTTCCCAGATGAGTTACTTCAAACACAATATATCGTATGATTTAACTGCTTTCTGGTCTATTTAGAGTTATACTGAGAGGAGAAACTGTTCTCTTTGCTTATGCTTTGATGGATTTTTTGGGGATTTATTAGATAGAAAGTTGAGAGATAAAGGGAGAATGCGGGGAATAATAGACAGAGGATGACAAAGGTTCCCAGTCAGACCCAAACCCAGGATGCTGCAAACCACTTTAACCCCATCGGCCACTGAGGTTAATAGGATTTCTGTGATTGTCTCCTAGCAACTTCATATACAATGAATTTGCAACATAAAGAGGGAAAAAAATGTAGAGCGAATTACATTTTCCATTAATAGGGAAATGTTATAAATTAACATACCTGGCTTTAAATGTTGACACTGAACGTATTAGTAAAATGTTTACTGACAATGTATTTCATTTGTTTTCTGCCAAAATAGGCAATCTTACAAAACTATACTACCGTAGTGACTAAAGCATGATTTAAAAGTCAGCAGTGACTCACTCATTTTTCTTTTAACAAAAATCACAATCTTTCCTAATTTTACCCAAAGTGATCTTGTTGCAGAAATATGGACACGTATCCCCACGTGAGACAGTCCTGCAACATGTACGGCCACCATCCAGCCCGACCACCTGCTTCTATATATATATATATATACGCCACGTTATAAAACATAGTGTGATTCTTTTTTTGGGGGGCTTTTTATTGCTTTTATTAGACAGCTGAAGACAGACAGGAAAGGGGGGCAGAGAGAGAGAGGGGACGACACGCAGCAAAGGGCCGCAGGTCAGGTCCGAACCCTGAGCTGCTGCAGCAAGGACCCAGCCTCGGTACATGGGTCGCCAGCTCCACCCACTGAGCTAACTGGGCGCCCATAGTGTGTTGATTCTTACATGAAAATGATGCCAGAACCTTAAGATTTAGCACCAGCAGAAGCAGTATGGCCTGTGCAATACTCAAACAACTGAAATAAACTAATACACACAGATCGCATCTATACAGGAAATGTTGGCTAAGCCTTTATTTTCCATTTTAAATAAATGAGTTCTGTTTTTCAGTGCGTTAACATAAAATATGTCTGCTGCTGCTGCAGGGCAATTGAACCAGGGGTAGGAAAGTCGGCATGTTATTCCCTCAGCTTCTACTGTCAAAGTACCTTTGAGCAACGCTTTTTTTCCTACCAATAGCTGCTACTCTTCCCAGTAAAGAGGATCATATAGTTGAATTGTGTCAGTGTATGGATGTAAAGCTG